TTATGAAATCTGATTTAATTTATCATATAATATATTTATAGATATTTTGATAAATAAAACAATTAAAGCCAAATATTAAGATTATATTTATGTCTTCTTATATGCGAAAAAAATATATCTCATATTAATATAATCTCATCATAAATAATTATGCATAAATAAAACGGCAAGCTGGTAATTTCTATTATAAAATAATATAACTAAAAATAAAATTCTCTTCTCTATATATAGACGACAATTTATTTATTTTAAATCATCATTTATCCATCTTCTTCAAATATTTAGAATAATATCTATTTCCACTATAAGACGGGCGTGAGAAAAATCCCCAAATATTCCGATCTTTAAATTCATTAATAATAATTCATTTTAAAAATTTAGATAATCGTACGCATAAATAATAAAATCTAGTATACCATTAATTTTGAAATCTTTCATACTTATCGTATAATTCGATCAAAGAACTATAGCTCAAAATATAACACAAATTACGCCCGGAACTATCGCGGAAATCATACGAATATAAAAAATATCGTAGACAACAGAATCTTCTTTGAACCAAAAATTTATCTATAATTTTTCTATAGTATCTTCTATTCATAAAATTTGAATTATTTCCCTATGATTGGAAGAAAATATCTAATCGTATATTAATATTTTCTCAAAAATATGTTCTGTTTAATCGCAATATCTGGAAACAATCTCTGATTTCATCTTGAGAAAAGTGTCTTGAAAATTTCTTGGCAATCTCTCTTGTGGATATATGGCAATTGAATTAAGAATTAGTAGTCTCCATTTGTCCCCCCCCCCATATTGGTATTTGAGCCTAGTCAGGTCCTAAGAATCATGTAGCATCCCGACCAATAAATGAGCCGTTGACGAGCAGCGATACCGCCAAGAAATCCAGACTACCCACCGGGTAAGTGCTCGTCTTGGATTGTTTTTGCCACCGCTGCTGGTGTTGTATGGTGCTGCAGTTGAGTCTAGCATCTCGCGGTACCGAGCCGCGCGTGCTCGTTCATAGTGCATCTGATCCGTTCTGCTTTCATGGATAGCGTACCGCCGCTCCTCTGTTGTTTGCGGCGTTGATGGCCGGTCCCCTCACCATTTGGATCAAGCACCCTTCCGGAAGAGGCTGCTAACTTACACCTGATGACTGGAGAGAAATGATGTACATATCTGGAAGGGCTGCTGGCATGCAACCACGGCACTCGCATCCAACACTGCGAGCTGGAAGTTGCAACGCAGTGTCCGCTGCCCTTTAGTTTCTCCAGGCTCTTCGAATCCTCTTCATGGCAGCTACCAGCAATCGCAGCTAAAGCTGCCGCGGGGATCGACGGCCTGGCAAGGAAAGTTTTTCGAAAGGGTCTGGCAATTAGAGGTTTCAGCCGGCTGCATACATATCCACGGAAGGACCCAGATCAAACTATCTTCGTACCTCCTTGTTGTGAAGGCGACGCAAATTCATTAACTGATTGCAAGCCACCACAATACAGACACAGTTCCAAAGCAAGAAGAGACCAGAAAAGAAACATCAGTGCTCTGACAATTGTCGGCCTGGTGCAGTAGGGTCGAGAAATCCACGGGTCTACTTCAGAGTCACGCTCTGATCATTCCCCGTCACACTTTCACATCGCCGATTTCCAGCGCCGATATAGTCACTTGCGCCGTCTCTAGTCACTGCTCTCGATGTTGCCATCTACAGCCAGACCCAATGAAGCACGAAAGGCCATGAGGTTGACTTGACGCTCTGGGGCGAGAAGTCATGCAACAAACGCTCGGAAACGAGACCCTGATTGAAGCCGCCGAACATGAACGTTGGTCGAACACACCCATCTTATCTGGACTTTCCTGTGTCGACACCAACTGCAAATGCACTACATGCAAACATCGCTCCGAAGCGACCCCACAGGCTGCAATCGCACTGTCCTAATTGACCAAGCGGTGACGGGCCTGATGCTGCACGTGCTGAGCAGCTGCGAGGCTGTCCGGCCTAAGTCTCCCATGTTTGCCCGGCCTCATCATCTCGACCCATTGTGCGCTTTTAGGCTTCCGCGATTCGGTTTGAATGAAACTTCAGTGTCTTGTCTTGTCCCCGCCTCAGAAGAGGTACAGGCTGCTGTACGAGTCGGCTAGCTGTGGAGCAAGTCGTTGCTGCAACGGCTGCTGGACAGGAGCTAATTGCTGCGGGCAACCAACACCTTGGGACGACTTGTGCCAATGATACGTATCCCGCTAAGGTCCGTGCTCAGGAATAGAACTATCCTCCAAGCCCCGATGTAAGCAAGTGTAACCTGAGGCCTGGAATCCAAACCTAGAGCCTAAGACGGAGTAGAGCTAAGCTCCACGCAGCCTCAACTGACGAGGAGCTCAAAGAAAAGGCCTGGCTGAGCGCTCGCGGAGGTCACATCGACTTTATGTGTTGCAAGGTCCTAGGCTCATTGAAATCTTGAAGTCTTTCCAACACATCAACACCTGACTGTGCGTGAACGAGTTCTATGTGTACTCGGTTTGTTGCACCTACTATCATATCTCGCGTTGAGCGTCATCTTGCGGATTGAGGCTTAAGGATTTTTCCCATGGATTCCAGAATCCAGAGGCCTCCCGAGGTTAGATACCAGACCTCGACAGACCTTCCGCAAGAAAAGGGTCACACTCAGTCGTGAGATCCGTCATTGGATCTTCAAGAAATCCGGTGCAAGTGCCGGTACCCCGAAGGGTCTCCGGGCCAAAACGCAGCTCGAACAGACTGGCCATCTCGATTTTGGCACAGAGACCCAGGGCCTTCTTGGACAAGGGCTTCTTCGAAGAGAACCACGGAGCCTGGGAACAAGGCTGCATCCGACGGCCCTTGCAAGTGCTCTGTGTGGCTTCCTAGCCCTCACAAGTTCAGCCCATGTCAACAGCTGCTATTCATTCAATAGCACTGTGCTACAAAGCCAGTAGTTGATGATCAGGACTCCGGAGAGTGCCCCGACAAAGACTCTGCCTTTGCTCCATGATTTCAAGACGCTGCGACTGCGCAATCACAGCGTCATGAAGCACATCGTCCCTAAACCCTAAACCCTCAGTGGGTCCGAGTGGGCACCATCCGAAGGTTCGAGCAAGCTCGCCTGCTGAGGCTGAACCGACGCGTCTGTCTCGCGAGACATAGTTTCGCTCAGGGTTCCTTGTTTTAGTTCTACATAATATACGAAGCCCTATTCTAATCAGTTAGCTAGCAGTAGCTTGAGCAGCAAGGCCCCAATCCTGCACGCAAAGCTTTCTGGCGCTTGCGACTAGCACTGGACTCGAAAAGCTGCAAACCCTGATCTCGTCATGCAGTGCCCGTGTGAGATCTTGGTGGCATGCTAGAATGGCACAGCAACTGTTCGTTCAAGCCTCAACCTGCTGGAAAATGTGCTATAGTGGGACAGCTTGCTTTCATTTCGGTGACCGTCAGCTCTATGCTGCTATGTTTGACTTCGCGGTTGTCGTGTGAGATAGTGAGACAGAAAGGTAAAGTGATCCTGCTCGATCTAACACGATTTGCATGAGAGCCGCTTCTCGCTGCGTTGGGGGGTAGCATCTACAGGCTGGGCACAACAAGCTCAGGTGCTGTCGCAGCTGCGAGGACCGTGCGCTACATAAGGCGCCATAAGGCATGCATTATGAAATGTCGAAACTGGAACTTTCCAGCATCAGCACATGCATTTTAAATCAATAGACGAATCTGTTCCGCAGCAGCATCACCAGAAGAGCCAAATATATCTGCCATGAACTGCAACGCGCACTGAGGCCAAACAACTTCGGAAGGTTCATCATGCGATTTCTGCAAGATGCAGCTGCCACTGCAAGTCAACATATCGCCGAACACTCGAAGCATGCGATGCAGCCCCAGACCCCTGAAGGACCTAAGGTAAGAGATGTCTCGGACACACTGATGATCACTGCGCAGAGTATCTGAGCATCGGCTTCGAGTCATGGCGTAGGTCGAACGGTGCCCTCTGCACTGCTGTAAGCAGATCTTGGACGTGTTAAATACAACGGATGCGATTGCTCGTGGTGCATGATGGCATGGCCCCAGCATAGCTACGGCTAAACCGTCTTCTAAATCGTACGGAGAAGAATCGCATCTGGAGCACTGGCACGTTGTAGTGCTCTGGTCATTGCACAGGGTTTGACCCAGTTGAGACAAGATTGTCATCTTTGTGTCCGAGAATACCTCACCCACAGCAAAATGCCCGCACGTATATGTTACAGAGCTTTGCTGCTCGGCCCAACTGCACGAAGGCGCGCACATGTTCGCGAGTTGGAGGGGGGGTTCGTCGCCAACACCATCCACAGTACCACTTCCCATGTAACAGTAACTTCAAACATGAAGTGTTACAGATGATAGCAGATCTGCTCTAGTGACTCTAGTGCCTCTTGCTAACTCAAATTTGTACTACCCGACTTGGCAACTCGAATTCGGCAAACGGATCCATCACCGATTCCATCTGCACGGCGCCAACGGCGGCAAGCCAAAGGTAGGGCCTTGCGATGCGGGAGAATGCAAGGCAGCCTATCATCACTGAACAGTACTGTTACCGATAATCCTGCGAGCAACTTGGACCTGCCACAACACCATCCAATTTATGTGTTGAACAACTCAGTGTTTGGACAGCTTTCTGCTACTTTGCCAGGTTACCGTCCACGGGGATGGTGGGTCGAAGTGGGCAGATCATCTAGGAGTATCTAGGAACTCGAAAGAGAAACTGGAGAGGCATGCGCTCGCAGGAGGTCTCGGGATAATACGAGTAGGCTGTGGCGATTGTGCAACTGTTCCGAACATGCTCTGGGGCAAGGAGCTTCCATCTGAGCTGCTGGGATGCGCTTTCATGCGATGAGCCCTTGCTTGCCTGCAACTATCAAAGCCGGCCGCAGCTAATATGCCGACGAGTCTACTTAGCCGAACTATACTTTCAATAGTACGAGTAACAGGAGTGTAAGAGGCGATTGCGTCCTGGACCCGACCCAGCTTTGAGACAGCCTCTGCAACTGTGAGACGTGCTCCTCTGGCACTGCCATGTCCTGAAGGCTGCGAGCGCCAGGGCTTGCCAAGTCGTGCGCCTGAATTTGCTCAGCATGTCTGCATGCAGTTGCATGACGACTGCTAGTGAACCCTTGGCAAGAAACCCTGGCGCACGCTGGAGGCATCTGCAATATCACTGACTGGGGTCGTCCTGCTATCATATTCAGGCCTCCTTGGCAGAGTCATGTTCCAGCTCATCGGGTAATAGCACCTTCCATGTCGATGCAAACAAGGCATGAAAACAGTCCAGCTGAGCAATATTTGCGGTCATACCCTATCACCATCTATTACCTGGACCGCTTGATGCAGCCACTCGCACATCTTCGTACTCCGACCAGAACTCAGGGCCTCTTTCACCGGCGATATCGCTCCCACCCATGGAGCCGAGGCCTCTTTTCAGCGGCATGCTGGGCATCCCTCTGCCTTCAAGCTAACCACCTTTTTAAGTGTAAAACTGCAGCAAGTCTCAAAGCCACGGCTTGCCGACATCCAGCATCATCCGCCGAAGTACCCCGAGTGCAGCTCAAGGTCAGCGACATGGATCGATTTTGAACTAATTCTTTGCTGCGGGAAGGGCGTTGTGGATTCGGTTGAGGATGTCTTGGGATTCTGTTTCCAGAATGTCAAGGCTCCGACCTTGGTCTCAGGCATGACCTCGTAAGTCTCATGCTTCTCCGGCAGTGTGGTGGTGTTTGCCTTTCCGACGCTTCCACATGTTCGCTCCAGAGTTCGACTAAATTGGAAGAGACCAGCTTGCCAGCTGCAAGAATGCCCATGTCTGCGATCAAGGCTGCTCCAGCTGCAAGCTTCGTCGCTAGTCTACAAAACCCTAAACTCCTAAACCCTACAACGGCGATGGATTCTCAGGAGCCCTGTTCGCACCTTCAACGTCGGACATCCTGGCAGCCTCGGAGGCGGGAGAGCTGGCACCTTGCATGGAGAAACTCCGAGACTCTCACTCCTGAGGATAACTACAATATAATTGTAATATACTTATCATGTAATTGTAGTTATAGTCTTGTTATGGTGTATATATATATGTGTGTGTATGTTCATATACAGTAACAGACATATATATATATATAGATATATATATAATATATATATAGGTATGTATATATAAAACACACTATTGAATACTATAATGCGATATGTGCATGCCGCCTCCGGCTCGTCGCCCCTGTCCAGGTGCTTCACCTCTGGTCGAAACGCTTTTCAGTGCACCCGGCTAGGGGTCAGGGGAAATCGCCGAGATGCTTCTGGCAGGTCTGCCGGCACATCCGTGTCTGAGGATGCAGTGGATGATGGCCAAGACATTGCCTGCGCATTTGGGATACAAACAGGGACATGGCTTCATGAACCGCCGAGGTGAGTTACAAAGCCCTCGAATGCAACGTTGGACCGCTGCCTTCAAGTGATGCTGCCTTCTGCCAAGACTAGGGGGTGGGACAATCAAACAGCAGCTGCCTGCTCCCCCTGCGATTGGAAGCGATGTATCTTGAAGGAGCTACAGTACATAGTGAAGTTCCCTTCCAATGAGCCCGCACGATGAGAAGCGGCATGTGCTGACGATTTCCTACATCGAGGGTGGCTTCTCTTGCTTCCGAGAAGGTCTGTGCCGGGCTCTCAGAATGGAAGCGTCTCTCGCTGCACACCGCCGACCGGGACTGAAGACAGAATCTGTTGTTTGCGAACTTCAATACATGGCTGAAAACCCCCCACCTTCCGGCAATCTGGTCCCTGCTGGCAAGATCGCTCACGAGGCACCTTGCAAAGCAGACCCAGTGGCACAACACATGCCAGTGTCCCTCTGTGCTCCAAACTGCATACCTTTCCGCATTCATGTTGTAGGTGAAGGCGGGACCTCCTCTAGCTCTGTGAAGACGGCGAAGCAAAGAAGGTGGCAAGCAATCGCCCTGCACTGAGGCACCTCAGGAACATCTCGAGGCTGTGCAAGTGAAGCAGGTATTTCGGCACAGGTGAAAGAGTAAGCCGCTCAAGTTAAATGTCGCGAGGTCTGACACGCGAAGTTCTCGCTGCGCAGCCTCCACCCAGAGGCGCTGCGACGGCGCAACTCAAAGCTCGGTAAGCTGCAAAGCGCAACCTGACTCCTCAAGGAGAGTCTCAGGATGATGCTTCCTTCGATAAGAAGCGGAGAAGCTCCTGCCGACTGCAGATTATGGCACCCTCTGAAGCAGCAGCTCTGCACATATACACATGCCTGTACACTTGCACATATACAAATGTATGTGTATATATATATACAGATAGATAGATGGATATATATATATATATGCATGTATGTATCAATACATTTGTGTTTCGGTGTAGACATTGGTAAGTACATTCATTCATTAATTAACCACTTCACTAATTATAAACTAATTAACTAACTCAATCACTCACTAAGTCGCTAACTCACTAACTAACTAATAACTAACTAACTAAATAAATAACTAACTAACTAACGACCTAACTAACTACCTAGCTAGCTAGCTAACTAACACACGTAGGCATATATATATATATGTACACACGTACATGAACATATACGGACACATACAGAGACATATACCGAATACTTCTCACTGCACATGTCGACGTATGCGCAAGCATGCACATGCGCAAATGTGTAAATATGTGTATATGAGTGCTCATATGTATAGACGTACACAAACACATGTGCAAACAATCAGTAAACCAGACACACACACACACACGCACACCAACATGAAGCGTCATCATTACACGCATGAACATTGGTGCTAGCCTGTGTACATGAATACATGCATACATACAGACAACCAGACAGACAGCTAGCCATACGGACAGGCAAACCAACAGACCGCCATGCACGTACACATACACGTACACGCATGAATTCGGTCGCACATGTGTGCATGCACAGATACATACACAGACAAGCATGTATACACACATGCATGCATGCGTACACCTGTACATGTATGCTTGCATCGTGGATTTCGATGTTGGAACTTGTCTTTGCAGGTTGTGTGGTAGACCCAAGTGACACGACGACTACACTGAGTACATCACCTAATAGCAGCTCGTAGCACATCAGATCTTGTTCTATCTTTACCACACGCTACGTACAGTGTGTAAACGCACGTAGTTGTACAGACATGCTTGTTGAAAGCGTCTTCCAGGCAGAGACGTAGTGAAACAACTTCTGCTACCGTACGTATTGATGGTGCGAGGCTCGGCTTCATAGAATTTTGCAAGCAGAACTGGGCAGCTCTTGACTTGAGTCCCACAAATACCGCCTCAATCTCGGAAAGTGTTTCGTCAGCCACCTCGGGGGTCAAGTTGAGAGTAGTGAGCTGGTGGCAGATACTAAGACCTTGACAGCCTTTCCCTGTACAGTCAGCTGATAGCCAAGCACTGCTTAACGAACAGCAGCCACAAAACATGCATCAAGACTGCCTATCCCAACACTGAGGACTCAGCAATAGCTGCAGCACCCCCCTGGCAGGAGGGGCAACAGGGTTGCCGCACCGCAACGGTTAGCGTCCCTCACCGGAACTGGCACGAACTCAAAACCCTTAGGTTCCTGCTAGCTTCGCCCCCAGCAGTATCTAAATGGCAAACGCATTCCATGTCCGTCTCGCTCTTGCGATTATCGCTTGCGTTGTCTGGGCACCAAGCTGCTGCTGGATGGTGTTGGGGATGCTGCCGTGGTGGTGACTGCTGGCCATTCCGTGGACTATCGTGGGCTGTTGCCAGCAAGAAGAGAAGCTACACTGGGGCTGTTGTAGAGTTAGTCTTGTGCCTGCCATCCATCCCGTCTACTCCTCACTGCTCGCCATGCAGACTGCCGTTAAGGATTTTGGTCCAGAATGCTTATTTTCTTAATCTTTGACTGCGCCTGACGATGCAGAAATTCCACGAGGTGCAGCATCCGCAGCCTGGTCAGGAGCGAGTTTGGTGGGCCGGAAGCCAAGCTCCCTTAACAGATTGGAGTTGTTTTTGCCTGGCAAGCCGGTCCTGTTTCAGAGAGGTGTCAGATTCGAGCTGGCTGCTGCTACTACTACTACTACTACTGCTGCTGCTGCTGCTGCTGCTACTACTACTGCTACTACTACCACTACTACTACTACTACTACTACTACTACTACTCTACCACTACCACTACCACTACCACTACCA